ATGATGACGATGATGATGCTGATGATGATGATGATGCTGATGATTAGGATGATGATGCTGACGACGATGATGATGATGATGATGATGATGATGATGATGATGATGATGATGATGATGATGATGATGATGATGATGATGGTGATGATGATGATGATGACGATGATGATGATTCTGCTGATGATGATGATGATGATGCTGGTGACGCCGATGATGACGATCCTGATGCTGATGAATCTGATGATGATGATGATGATGATGATGATGATAATGATGATGTTGATGTTGATGATTCTGATGATGATGAGGATGCTGATGAGGCTGACGATGCTGATGATGCTGCTGATGATGCTGATGATGACTATGATGATGCTGATGGTGCTGATGCTGATGCTGATGATGATGTGGATGATGATGATGATGATGATGATGATGATGATGATGATGATGATGATGATGATGATGATGATGATGCGGCTGATGAGGATAATGTTGATGCTGATCACGATGATGATGCTTGTGGTAATGATGATGCTGATGCTGATGCTGGTGATGCTGATGATTCTGATGATGATGCTGATGATGCTGATGATGACGATGCTGATTCTGATGCTGATTATGATGATGATGATGATGCTGTTGCTGATGCTGATTGCGATGATGATGGTGCTGATGATGCTGCTGATGATCATGATACTGCGGATGATGATGTCGATGATGCTGATGCTGATGCTGATGATGATGACGATGCTGATGCTGATGATGATGCTGATGCTGATGGTGATGGTGATGGTGATGATCCTGATGCTGATTTTTCTGATGCTGATGCTGTTGATGATGATAGTGATGATGACGAGGATGGTACTGACGACGCTGACGATGATGCTGATGATGCTGCTACTGATACTGCTGATGGTGATGATGCTAATGCTGATGCTTATGATGATGATGCTGATGATGCTGCTGGTGATGATGATGCTGATGCTGATGTCGATGATGATGGTAATGACGATGATGATGGTGACGCTGATGATGATGATGCGCCTGATGATGCTATTGATGATGCTGATGATGACGACTACGATGCTGCTGCTGCTGAAAATGATGATGACGATGGTGATGAGGATGATGATGCTGATGCTGATGATGATGACGATGCTGCTGGTGATGCTGATGATGCTGATGATGATGATGATGATGATGATGATGATGATGATGATGCTGTTGATGCTTATGATGATGATAACGGAGGCAAAGATGATGCTGATGGCGATGACGATGCGGATCATGTTGATGATGCTGATGTTGATACCGATGCGGAAGATGATGCTGATGCTGATGCTGATGATGATGCTGTCAATGACAATAATGCTGATGATGCTGCTGATGATGCTGATGATGATGCTGATGCTGACGATGATGATGATGATGATGATGATGATGATGATGATGATGCTGATTTAGGTGCTGATGATGCTGATGCTGATGACGATGCTGATGCCGCTGCTGATGATGATGTTTATGATGATGCTGATGATGATTATGTTGACGATGATGATGCTGATGACGCTGATGCTCATGATGCTCAGGTTGATGATGATGCTGATGAAGCTGATGCTGATGACGATGCTGCTGATGATGCTGGTGATGATGATGCTGATCATGATGATGCTGATGATGATGCTGGTGATGATTATGCTGACGATGATGGTACTGATGATGACGATTGTGGTGACTGAGGATGGTGGTGCTTATGATGATGCTAACGAGCATGATGCTGCTGATGGCGATGACGAAGATGATGCTTATGATGGCGATGCTGATGGCGATGGTACTGATGATGCGGTTGATGCTGATGCCCGTGCCGATGATGATGCTGTCGATGCTGATATAGTATTACGCTGATGACGATGATGCTGCTGCTGATGATGATGATGATGATGATGATGATGATGATGTTACGGATGATGCTCATGCTGATGATGCTGATGCTGCTGATGCTTATGATAATGACGATGATGATGCTGACGATATAGATAAGTATGATGCTGATGATGTCGATGCTGATGCTGATGCTGATTATGCTGATGATGATGCTGATGCTGATGCTGATGATGATGATTATGCTGATGATAGTGACGATGATGATGAGGCTGATGATGATGATGCTGATGATGCTGATGCTGATGACGATGATGATGATGATGATGATGATGATGATGATGATGATGATGATGATGTTGGTGATGTTGATGATGCTGCTGTTGCTGATGCTGCTGCTGATGATGCTGATGATGATGCTGATGATGATGATGATGCTGATGATGAGGAGGAGGAGGAGGCGGAGGAGGATCGAGGAGGATCGAGGAGGATCGAGGACGAGACGAACCGAGAAGGACAACGCAGGATGGAGAGGAGGAGGACGAGGAGCAGGAGGAGGAGGAGGAGGAGGAGGAGGAGGAGGAGGAGGAGAGGAGGATCGAGGCGGATCGACGAGGATCGAGGGGCGAGGAGGACCGAGGAGGACCGAGGAGGAGCAGAGGAGGAGGAGGAGGAGGAGGAGGAGGAGGAGGGAGGAGGAGGAGGAGGAGGAGGAGGAGGAGGAGGAGGAGGAGGGGGATCGAGCCGCCGTGGCTTGCTGCATGTGTGACACGGCGAGGTCCCCCGGGGGCACGGCAGGACCGTCTTCCCCTCCCCGAGCAGCTCTCCGCAGTGGTCGGGCGAGTCCGTCTCTGCGGGGTGGCCTGTGGAGGCCGCCTCGTTCTCGCCCGCGGAGGCCCCTCCGGGCGAGGCCGCGCGCGGGCTCTCCTCGTCGCTCGCTTGCCGTTCGGCTCTGCTCGCGGTTGCCGCGAGGATGCTGCGCAGCGGGGGGGAAAAAGGAGGAGGGCCAGGGTAAACGCAGGACTCATCCACGGTATACCCTCCCTCCGAGGTGCCTCTACAGAAGCCCCCCACACAATGAGGGTTCAGCTTCACAGGCCGAAGTGCTGCAGGATAGTGCGGTAGAATGAAGTGCAAAGACAAAGAAACGACGAGGTCCTTTTTTAAGGGCGCAGAACAACTAAGCGAGCAGCCAGTGAAGGAATAGTGCTCCCCCTCACCTCCCCAACCCTCCTACCCATCCGATCCCGCACGTGAGACGAGCCCTCACCGAGAGCAGTTCTCACGGAGGGCAGCTTGAAGTCAGCTTCGAACAATCCCTCACCGTGGGAGTGGGCAGAATGATGAAACTGCCGCCTGGGTGATGCATGTGGCGTGGATGCCCTCGCCAAGGGCCATCGCTTGAAACTGCGGTTTGAACGAATCAGCGCAGATCCTCCCCCGCCAATTCTTCTGTCTCATCTCCCCTCCCCCCCCGCAAACCCGACCCTCCCCACGAGCAAGGGTGGCCCTTGCCGAAGGCCTACATTACACAGGGCCTATGTTACGATGCCCTGAGCTCTATATTGGACCAAACTGGCGACCAGGATGCTGCATCATTTGCGTGCCTGCACCATCGTACTGTATGTAAGGCGGGTTGTCAGACCCTGCACTGCTCTTTGGCAGCAATGTGCATCCAGAGGGATGGGAGAAATACACGAAGGAGGGAGGAGGAGGAGATAATGAACTGACAGAAACGGAGGGAAGGATGAGGGCTGAGTATGCGGCTGTACGTTATCTGCGCACTGGGTGCGCAGGTTGTGAAAAACGCCCCCCCGCCGCCCTAACCTCCGAGAAACACCCCTCCACACCTCCACCTCATGCTTAACATGGGGTTGGCGAAACATCAAGCTCGAGCAGCTCGGCGTTAGACAGTGCTGCCTCGGAGTGCTTTTCTACGGCAACTGAGCAAGATGATAAAGATCAACTGCTATGGCTGCCCGTGGTGCTTTCAGCACGGCACACAAGAACTTGAGACGGTCCTCCTCCATCCGCTCAGCCACACTCTCCACCACAACCTCCTGCTCTACAGGCGTCTCGGAACGAGCAAACCATCAAGCTCGAGCAACTCGGTGTTAGACAGTGCTGCCTCGCCGCTCTTTTCTACCGCAGCCGAGACGGAAGCCTGGGCAGCTGAGCAAGAGAGCAAGTATTCACTGGGATAGCTGCCCGTGGTCCTCCACAATCCATCTACAGAGTGAACAACGAATCACCGACCTGGGCAGCTGAGCAAGAGGGCCAAACTTTACTGGAATTGCTGCCTGTCGTGGTGCCAGCATGACAAAGGGCTTTCGACACGGTCTTTCTCCAACCACTCATCCATCTTCCGTCGTCTTCTCTGGTCCCATCCCGCCCGAACCACAAGACACAAGCGTCTCTCATTGGTGTGCGCTGTCATGTTGGGCACCAGAATACACAACGGAACGACGAGACGAAATAATAGCCTGATATTCCCCAGTGTTTCAAGTCTCAGCGGTGTGCAATTCGGAACGTACCTGTATCTCATTGTCCCATGGTTTGGTAAGAGCCTGGCACAAGTTTTCGAACTATTGTTCGTCAACGCCGATCGTTTGTATGAGGGCCTCGACGTCCCATCCGCGTTGGCACTTTCTCAGATTTTGCCAAATACCCATCTCGTGTACTCTTCTGTGTTGTAGTCGAAGTGGACGGCCGACTTCAAGAAGAGGCACAACAGTTCGAACTTGTTCAGGTTTATTGGTTCAAGGCTTTTCGGTTTCGTTCACAATTTTGTTTGGCAGAGAATATGGTCCAGCAGTCTGTTGTCGGGTTCCAGTCGCCCAGCGTGCCTTCAGTGCCGTTGAGCATTGCGTTTGCTAGGAGCGCTTGTCGCGCTCCTTGCCTAGGCTCAAAGTTTTCGGCCGAGGCGCTACACTGTGCTTCGCAATGCTGCCGCTGGTGTCGGTCGTGACTGCTGCTGGGGTAAGTTGTGATCGTCGGGGTCGGCGCTGCTGCTGATGGAAGCGGCGATGCTGCTGGTAGAGGCGGCGGCGTTGCTGCTTCAGCCGCCGGAGTCGGTTGTGCTCGAGGTAGTGGTGCTGCTGGGGTCGGTGGTGTGGCTGTAGGCATGTGCTGGAGTCGGTGGTGGCGGCGGTTCTGCTGCTGGAGTCGGCGGCGCTGCTGCTGGAGTCGGAGGTGCCGCTGGAACAGGCTGTGCGGCTGGGGTCGGCGTCGCGGCTGGAGTCGGCGATGCAGGAGTCGGTGGTGGCGGCGGTGCTGCTGCTGGAGTCGGCGGCGCTGCCGCCGGAGTCGGCTGTGCTGCTAGAGCCGGCGGCGCTGCTGGAGTCAGTGTTGCTCCTGGGTTCGGTGGTGCCGCTGGAGCCCGTAGTGGTGGACTCGGCGGCGCTGCTGGAGTCGGCGGTGCCGGAGTCGGCGGTGCTACTGGAGTCCGTGGTGCTCCTGGGGTATTGCTGGAGTCGGCGGCGCTGATGCCAGAGTCAGGGGTGCTGGAGTCTGTGACCCTGCTGGAGTCTGTGGTGCTGCTGGGGTCGGTGGTGCTGCAGGAGTCGGTGGCGCTTCTGCTGGAGTCGGTGTTGCTGCTGGAGTCGGCGGTGTTGTTGGAGTCGGCGGCGCTGCTGTCGGAGTCGGTGGTGCTGCTTGAGTCTGTGGTGCTGCTGGGGTGCTGCTGAAGTCAGTGGTGCTGCTGGAGTCGGCGGCGGTGCTGCTGGAATCGGCGGTGCTGGTGGAGTCGGTGGTGCTGCTGGGGGCAGTGGTGCTGCTGGAGTCGGCGGCGCTTCTGTTAGAGTTGGTAGCGCTGCTGCCGAAGTGGGCTGCGGTGCTGTTGGAATCGGCGGTGGTGCTGGAGTCGGTGGTGCTGCTGGAGTCGGTGGTGTTGCTCGAGTCGGCTGTGCTTCTGCTGGAGTCTGGTGCTGCTGGGCTCGGTGATGCTGCTGAAATCAGTGGTGCTGCTGGAGTCGGCGGCGTTGCTGCTGGTGTCGGTGGTGCTGCTGGAGTCGTTGGTGCTGCTGGAGTCGGTGGTGCTACTGGGGTCGGCGGTGCTGCTGAAGCCGGTGTTGCTGCTGAAGTCGGTGGTGCTTCGGCGCTGCTGCTGCAGCCAGTGGTGCTGCTGGGGTCGGTGTTGCTGCTGGAGGCTGTCGTGCTGGAGTCGGTGGCGCTGTTGCCAGAGTCGGTGGTGTCGGTTTCGGTGGTGCTGCTGGGAGCGGTGTTGCTGCTGGAGTCGGTGGTGCTGCTGGAGCCAGTGTTGCTGATGGAGTCGGCGGCGTTTATGTTGGAGTCGGTGACGCTGCTTGAGTCTGTGGTGCTGCTGGGGTCCGTGGTGCTGCTGGAGGCGGTCGTGCTGGAGTCGGTGGCTCTGTTGCTGAAGTCGGTGGTGTTGGTTTCGGTGGTGCTGCTGGGGTCGGTGGTGCTGCTGGAGTCGGTGGTGCTGCTGGAGCCAGTGGCGCTGCTGCTTCTGGAGTCGGTGGCGCTGCTGCTGCTGGGGTCAGTTGTGCCAGCGGAGTCGGTGGTGCTGTTGGTGGAGAGGGCGTGCACCTGGAGGGGGGCCTGTATGGGGGAGGTGCCGCCCGACTCCACGGGGGTCGGCTCGTGACGTATGGTCCGTATGGTGGCAACTGAAGGCGAGGTTTGATGCTACTGCTGGAGTCGGCGGTGCTGCTGGGGTCGGTGGTCGGGCTGCTGGTCGGCGCTGGTCGGTGGTTGTCGGGCTGTTTGCTGTGGAGTGGCGGCGGCGCACGTTGTGCTGGCACTCAAGTGGCACTGTGGATTGCTTTGGCGCAAGGGCCCGCGGCGCCGCTGCGGTTGGTGGGGGTAGACGCCCAGCGGCCAGCGCGGGACCGGCCTGGAGGTGGACGGAGGCGTGGGGGGCCACCGAGCTCCTTTGGGCGGTCGGGGAGAGCCAGCGCTGCGGGTATGCATCAAGGGCCGAGGTGGATGTAGGTGTGGGTGCAGCGGAGGCTCTTCGTGTGGGCCAGGTGGTGTTGCTGGTTGCTGAAGGTCGCGGTCGGCGCTCTGGTAGTCGTGAAAGCTGGCGTGGTGGTAGCTGCGCGCCAGTAGAAGCGGCGCTGCGGGCTGCATAACCAATTCGATTGATGGCTTTGCGGATTGGGGTGGACGTATTGTGGATGGCAGCTGAAGCCGTGCAGGAGGGAGACGAGCCAATGCCATGAGCCATGATCGAATGGTCCCTGATCTGAGACAAGTCTGGGACAGCAATCTTGAAGCCTGATGGGCACTGGCACGAGCCACCACCTCAAGAGATGAGAGGGTGCGAGAGGAGCAATGCATTGTGTCAAGCAGAACACGTCACGGCATCGGTCTTATGGTACGCGGCTGTCCATCTGCGGGCGACGCGCGGCCACGGTCCGAGCGGGCCACGGTTTCCTCCTGCTGCTCCTCCTTACATATTCCTCCTCCTCCTCCCCTTGCTGGACCCTCTGCTCCAGCTCTCCTTCCCCCTCTCCCTCGGGCAGCTCGACGCCACTGTGGGCCGATGTTCCTATGCGAAAGTTGTTTCTTATCCGTAAGGGCTTCGCCCCCTGCCTCCGGCCCCCTCTCTAGAGTCATCATCGTACATTGAACCGTTGGCGTTATCGAGGACGCCTACGGCGAATCACCGCCGCCCCCTGCCTTTTTGGACACGCCTATGTGGCCGAAAGTTGTGGCCAGAGGCTTGCCAAGCTATCGGACCATGTGTTTCCCGAATCGGTTTGGAAAGCGTTCGGGGAACACGGTGGGGAGGCTGGGCCGACTTGGGGCTTTCTTGGGGTGCTCCAGGGCCGTCTTGGAGGCCATCTTGAGCGTCTTGGGGGCCTCTTGGGCCGTCCTGGGGGCCTCTTGGGGCCGTCTTGGGGGCCTCTTGGGCCGTTCTGGGGCCGTACTGGAGACCTCTTAGGCGATCTTTGGGTGCACTTGGGCCGTCTCGGGCCGTCGGAAGGCCGAAAAAGCAAATGCCACAATCCTTCAAAAACTCACGGGACATGATTTTGGCCTTTTCGGGCCTTTCTGGAGGCCCTCTTGGAGGCCTCTTGGGCCGTCTTGGACCATCTTGGGGCCATCTTGGGCCGTCTTGGTGGGCTCCTAGCCCGTCTGATGCCGTCGGAAGCCGTTTGGGGGGCCTCTCTGGGCCGATTTGGGGCCCTTTGGAATGCTCCAGGGCCGTCTTGGAGGCCATCTTTGGCGTCTTAAAGGCCTCCTGGGCCGTCCTGGGGGCCTCTTGGGGCCGTCTTGGGGGCCTCCTGGGCCGCTCTGGGGCCATCTTGGAGGCATCTTGGCCGATCTTGGGGCGATCTTTGGGGGCTCTTGGGCCGTCTTGAGCCGTCGGAAGGCCGAAGAGACGCACATGCCAAGATTCTTGGAACACCTTAGGACAATCAATGTTTTTGGCCTCTTCTGGCCTTCCTGGAGGCCCTCTTGGAATGTTTATCCCAACCATCCTGTGGTGTTGGATCCTCGTTTTGATGAGACGGCGCCGCGCGTCCTTCCTTCTTCTCCTCCCGCTGCCCCCCTCCCTCTCCCCATCATCAGCATCACCGTCACCATCATCATCGTCATCATCGTCATCACTATCATCATCAGTTTGGCCCCCCCTTCACATGGTTCGTGGCCCCACCGAAGGCCCCAGTGGGTGCGTCCGCATGCGTCACCGCCACCCAGGACAGCGCTTCGTGGCCCCATAGGGAGCTCCACCGAAGGCTCCAGTGGCAGGGTCTGCATGCGTCACCGCCGCCCATTGCGGCACACTCCTCACACGGTTCGTGGCCCCATAGGGAGCTCCACCGAAGGCCCCAGTGGGTGCGTCCGCATGCGTCACCGCCACCCAGGACAGCGCTTCGTGGCCCCATAGGGAGCTCCACCGAAGGCTCCAGTGGCAGGGTCTGCATGCGTCACCGCCGCCCATTGCGGCACACTCCTCACACGGTTCGTGGCCCCATAGGGAGCTCCACCGAAGGCCCCAGTGGGTGCGTCCGCATGCGTCACCGCCACCCAGGACATCGTTTCGTGGCCCCATAGGGAGCTCCACCGAAGGCTCCAGTGGCAGGGTCCGCATGCGCCACCGCCACTCATTACAGCACATCCCTCGCACGGTTCGTGGCCCCATAGGAAGCTCCACCGAAGGCCCCAGTGGGTGCGTCCGCGTGCGTCACCGCCACCCAGTACAGCGTTTCGTGGCCCCCCAACGAAGGCTCCAGTGGCAGGGTCCGCATGCGTCACCGCCACCCATTACAGCACACACCTCACACGGATCGTGGCCCCATAGGGAGCTCCACCGAAGGCCCCAGTGGGTGCGCCCGCATGCGTCACCGCCACCCAGGACAGCGCTTCGTGGCCCCATAGGGAGCTCCACCGAAGGCTCCAGTGGCAGGGTCTGCATGCGTCACCGTCGCCCATTGCGGCACACTCCTCGCACGGTTCGTGGCCCCATAGGGAGCTCCACCGAAGGCCCCAGTGGGTGCGTCCGCATGCGTCACCGCCACCCAGGACAGCGCTTCGTGGCCCCATAGGGAGCTCCACCGAAGGCTCCAGTGGCAGGGTCCGCATGCGTCACCGCCACACATTACGGCACACCCCTCACACCGATCGTGGCTCCATAGGGAACCACACCGAAGGCACCAGTGGGTGCGTCCGCATGCGCCACCGCCACCCAGGACAGCGTTTCGTGGCCCCATAGGGGGCTCCACCGAAGTCCCAGTGGCAGGGTCAGCATGCGCGACCGCCACCCATTACGGCGCAACCCTCACACGGTTCGTGGCCTCATAGGGCGTTCCACCGAAGGCCCCAGTGAGTACGTCCGCATGTGTCACCGCCACCCAGGACATCGTTTCGTGGCCCCATAGGGAGCTCCACCGAAGGCTCCAGCGGCAGGGTCCGCATGCGTCACCGCCACCCATTACGGCACACCCCTCACACCGATCGTGGCTCCATAGGGGACTCCACCGAAGGCACCAGTGGGTGCGTCCGCATGCGCCACCGCCACCCAGGACTGCGTTTCGTGGCCCCATAGGGAGCTCCACCGAAGGTTCCAGTGGCAGGGCCACGGCACACCCCTCACACGGTTCGTGGCCCCATAGGGCGCTCCACCGAATGCCCCAGTGGGTGCGTCCGCATGCGTCACCGCCATCCAGGGATGCGTTTCGTGACCCCATAGGGAGCTCCACAGAAGGGTCCAGTGGCAGGGTCCGCATGCGTCACCGCCACCCATTGCGGAACACCCCTCATACGGTTCGTGGCCCCATAAGGAGCCCCACCGAAGGCCCCAGTGGGTGCGTCCGCATGCGTCACCGCCACCTAGGACAGCGTTTCGTGGCCCCATCGGGAGCTCCACCGAAGGCTCCAGTGGCAGGGTCCGCATGCGTCACCGCCACCCATTACGGCACACCCCTCACACGGTTCGTGGCCCCATAGGGAGCTCTACCGAAGGCCCCAGTGGGTGCGTCCGCATGCGTCACCGCCACCCAGGACAGCGCTTCGTGGCCCCATAGGGAACTCCACCGAAGGCTCCAGTGGCAGGGTCCGCATGCGTCCGTGCCAGCGATTTCGGCGCACCCCTCGCACGCTTCGTGGCCCCATAAGGAGCTCCACCGAAAGCGGTACCCACAATGCTGCACTCGCAGCTGCATATGGTTGGGTCTTTCGTCAGGCAACTTGGCCT